TGATAATTTTTTATTTTAAAATATCATAAAACTAACAACAATAATAAATGATAAATGTTCAGTATTTTTTGAGTATTTGCACGGTTAATTTTTATTAAAAAAAAAACCTATAAAATTGATTTCAATAGATTTAAATTATATAAAGAGGAAATAAATAAAAGCATGGATTCCTTTTTTTTATTAATCAATATTTTTATTTCTAAGCTATACATGCCTAGTTCTCATGCATAAGCCTCGTCGATGTAACGAACATTTTCTTTTTTTAACTTCTTACTTTTAATTATGATTTCAAAAAAAAATCAAAAACTAGGGAAGATTTTTCTACAATACACTCTCACTCTTTAGATTAGAACACACACACATAGAATCATGGTCACCTCAATTAACATTATAAAAAGTCATTATATAAACTATTTTTATTTATTTTTTAAAGAGGAAAAAAAATCAAACTGGGCTTGCACCAGCCAGATGTGTACCTTTGGACTTGGAGAACCAAGCCCATGCGTGCACTGACAGGACACAAGCAGGCCAGGCCCTTATAAAAAAGGAAATAACAAACGATGCAATGTTTGCTCCATGTGCGGGAGACCACGCGTCATCTGCCAACAACTTCCAACGAAGTCATAAGTGTTGAAAATGCCAAAACAATTAGGGTACCACATCCCAAACTCCCAAACCCAATTTGTTGCCATTTGTTCTCCAAAATACCTCAAAATCAATAAAATTAGCTCAACAAACTTGTTTTAATTCACCTAAAAACACAAAAAATTTAAATTAAATTCCAAAAATCAAATATTTTGGAGTCTCAATTTTTTTTCTTTCTATCATTTCATGATTTGAAATTACTATAAACAAAATATCCTCGTCAATATGAACAAATTAAAATCATGATTGGAGATTATATTATTCAAAATGAGCCTTTAAGTTTCTCTCTCTTTCCTTCTCTTTCTTCGTTTCTAACTTCTTTTTTACATGTAAGGACCAAATCTTAATAAAATTGAAGTTGTGAACTAAAACAAAGGTGTTGTGGAAATCAAGAATAAAAGTGTGATATTAGTCAATTTATTATCTTAAAAATACCTTAAAATCACAAAAATAACATTAAAAAAAAAACTGAAAATGAATAGTTGATATGAGTGAATGTGCACATGTGCGAGCAATATTTTATGCAATTCAAATGAGTAGTAACTAGTACTTCTATTTTAGTTTTCTTACTAGTTTTTTCCATCCATGCTACGCCACAGAGTTGAATAGAACATGTGAAATTATTTGAAAAAATTATTTAAGTTTAATAGATTGTGTTATGTTTGTGGGTGGTCCACAAAAATTTATAAAATCAAAAGTAAAAAAAAAAAAAAAATTTATAACATTTTAATCAATTTTTTATATCTAACTATTTCTTCTTTATATTTTTTATAATTTTTCTACTTGAAAAATGATCTATTCTTCTTTACCCACGGATTCTATAAAAAAAATCAATACAAAATATAGAAAAAAACAAAGCTTAGTAGTTCACAAGATTATGTCGAAAAAAATAAAACAATAATTAATGTAAAAACTGGTATAAAAACAAATAAATAATTTTTTATTTTTAATCAATATTGATGAGAATATTAATTTTTTAAAATATGTACATTTTTAAAACAAAAAAATTATATTTGAATTATTGAGTGCTTACACAAAAACATAATTTCAAATATTTAATTTGAAAAAAATATCTAAAACCAAATAAATAAATAAATAGTAAATGGTTAGAGTTCTAGTAGTTGCATGGTTGATTTTTAAAAAACCAAACGATTTAATATATATATTTTTTATATCATAAATATACTAAGTGGCATTAGAGTTTATAACATAAAACGAACGACATTCAGAAAAAAATACTAACTTATAAGAAATATATTGAACAAATTTAAAATTTATAAATTAAAATAAAAATTCTATAAAAAATAAGCAAATAAAACACATGAGTTACTTTTTTTTTTTCCGTCTTGAATATATAGGCTATACATAGTCAGCCCCTATGCACAGATCTCAGACGCATAGAAATTACTTAATTTAAAAACTGAAATAAATTATTTAAAATACTTTTTTTAAAAAATGTGTTTCAAAGCACTCCTTTTCCTTTCAGTCTCCTCTTTGAAAGAAACAAAGGATAGTAAGAAGTACTGTATAAAAATTTAAAAATCTATAGAACGACATATGTCACAATGACACATACTATCTCTCTTATCTACGTTTTAGCTTTCAAAAACAAAGAACAAGGAATACGCTCTCTAACTAACAAAACATTAAAAGAAAATATCACTCTCCCTGTAGTCTACGTCCTCTTCTGCTATCTCCTCCAAATCCTTTCTTATCTAGATAATCATGATTATATATAATCAATAAATTTATTTATTTTATAACATCATTAAATCTGATTAATTTATCAAATCTTTTGTTTTGGAAACATAAAGAAGGAGCAGGAGTAGGGAGACTAAAGTTATCAAATGGATCAGTTTCTTCAAATGCCTTTCTTTCTTTTTTTTTTCAAATTCCATAGCCCTTCATTTCCTCAATTTCATGCTTCTTTGGCTTCTATTCTTTTCTTCTTACTGGTCTTTATCACTCTTTACATCCCATTTTATCAAACTGCAACGAATAGTGTTTTGGGAGGCAACATATAAAATGCTCGCAAAAAGTTTCAAAATCAACGAAAATGCGACTGCTAGATCTAGAGTGAATGAATAGTTTTTTGTGAGGTGGTGAATAATGTTTTTTACAATATTTTCTTCAATTCCATGCTTCTTCTGGCTTCTCTTCTTCTTTTGTTACTTGTCTCTCTCTCTCTTTAAATCTTATTTTATTAAGCTATAATAAACAGTGTTTTGTTAGGCAACATATAAAATGCTTGCAAAAAGTTTTGAAATCAACGAAAATGCCATTGCTAAATCTATAATAAATGAATAGTTCTTTGTGAGGTGGGGTGAACAGTATTTTGTATTTTTTTATTTTTTTATTAATTAATATCAATATTTATAATACAATAAATACCTTTATGTTTTAATCAAGATATTGAATAATGTACCTTAAGTTACTAACAACATATTATTGTAAATAGTAGATTGCAAGTGCATGTTCACAATATCTTTTTTTTTTTTTTAGATCCTTCAAAGTATCTCGGGTCGAAGACCTGGACTAATCCTTCGTTATTCCGTTGGACACATAAAGCAAGGATAACTACCTAAATAATTTATTGCATATACAAGAATTTGAATTCGAGACCACTTGCTTAAGAGACTATAACCGTTTTCACTCAACACTCAAATCAACACTATTGAGTAAAAAGAGTGTTTTTGATCAACACATACTAAAAATAGTGTTTTTTCCTCTATTTTTCAAATTGCTGCTGTAGATAGCTTTTATGATGCTGCCAATAGAGGAACTAAGACTTCAAGAACTCAACTTCAGTCGTATTTGTAAAAAGAATAGATTGGATACTAAGAGAGTAAGAGGAGGATGCTTTCAAATAGAGATGACAATCTAACCCGTCCCGAAGCTGTCCCACCTCGTTTGGGGTGGGGATGGGGCGTGAAATTTTTCCCCGAACGAGGCACGGGACGGAGATGGGTTTTATTTTTTTTTTGCGAGACGGGGATAGAGATGAGGAGCGAAATTTTGACCTCGAACGAGATACGAGACGAAAATAAATTTTTTTTTTAAGGGGACAGGGCGGGGATGAGGATGGTGATCGATACCCACCCCGTTGCCATCCCTATTTCAAAAGTCATCACCAAGAGCCTAATGGGCCTTGGACCTTGGCTCAATGGGTCGCACGAAGTTAACCTTTCGACTTATGTGTGCCTCTACGTGTTTACATCGCTGTGGACCTATTGAGGGGGCCCTCGGGTTAGGTCACCAAAATTATGTCATCAACTATCCCTATAATTGATGTATTTACTAATGAATTAAATAGACATTTAGTCAGTCATTCCAAAAAATATGTGGCAATAAATGTATATTTATTTTTTCCTTCTTCTTCTAATATTAAATTTTCTTTCGGTTTCAGGGAATGACTAATTAGTTATAATTAAACGTTCCTGTCCACTTGGTTTTTAATGAAAAAATATAATACATTTCGCGGCAGATTCATGTGCCCATCAATATGACTTGGGTTTTTTGACCTCTTCTCGTTGGATTGATTTTATAAAGAACATTCGTTTTAGTGGGAGCAGTTCTCTGATTGTGATATTTTGGCAAATCATTTCAAGTAGTATATATTTTAACAAAATGAGAAAAAGAAAATGATTTATAAACGAACAAATCCTCTGTTATAGCAATTAGCAATAACCCCTTTTGTTTTTGTTTTTGTTTTGGTTTTCCAATTACAAAAGAGAGGTTAGAAACTAAATTAAGCTGAAGAACAAAACGTTATTTCCAGACAGAAAAGGTGAAATTTCTTAAATTAAGAAGAAGAACGTTCACTTTTCTTTCGAAGAGAAAAAATGTTTGGTTTGAGACTTGAATATGAAATTCTCATAAAGTTATTTGAGGATACAAATCAAATATAATAATGCTTGAAATATTTTCTTTCTTTCTTTTTTCCTGCTCAATTTCATTCGTTTTACTATAGTTCTACCTTATAGTCATATAAAAAATGTTTTTGTTAGAAACTAATATAAATATATTCTAGGACCTCACTTATTAGCTTAAACTTTTAAGTGAAATAGTCTTTTAATATGATATCGAGTTTGATTGATCAAGAGGTCTTGAGTTCAAGTCTCATCATCCTTAATTTCTCAAGTATTAAGCACACGGTAATATGGATCCGTACAAATTTCAAGTCCAAATGTTAGAACTTTCACTTAAAAGGGTGCGTTAGAAACTAACATAAATTATATTATGGGACATCACCTATTAATTTAAATTTTTAAGTGAGATGAACTAATTGGATTGGGCTATGTAGTTTCTCCTCTTATATATTGCACCACTTAGTCTCCAATTGCGCATGCCATCCCATGGAGACATCCAAAATCCCCCCAATCAAAGAAGAAGATCTCCAAGAATTGCTCCTTACCCTTCCCAGTGAGAAAAACCTTGATGGCACAAATTCTCTCTATCTATACCAAGGGGCTTGGATGTCAGCTTATGTCTTAAGAGCTGTGTATTCCTTTCAACGCCACTTTATTGCTCAAGACACCGATATAATTGTAGGTAGCATGCCGAAATCAGGCACTACTTGGCTGAAAGCCCTCGCGTTTTCAGTTGCAAAACGCCACATCTATGGCCCCAAAGAAAGTCCCTTGCTCACGACCACACCTCATGAACTCGTGCGTTTCATTGAGACTGACCTTTACTCGAAAGACCAGCAACCAAATCTTGAGCAACTTCCTCCTCCAAGAATTTTCGGTTGTCACTCCCATTATGCAAATTTGCCAGAGTCCATCAGAATTTCTAAGTGTAAAGTTGTGTACATATGTAGGAATCCATTGGACCAAATTGTCTCTTTTTTTCAGTTTGCACACAGGTTCAAACAAGATGGCACACCTTTTTTATCACTAGATGAATGCTGTGACAACATCTGTCGCGGTGTCCACAGCCAAGGGCCTTTTTGGGATAACGTGTTGGGGTATTGGAAAGCAAGCTTGGAAAGACCAGACAAGGTGTTGTTTTTGAAGTACGAAGACTTGAAGGAGGATATAGTCTCGAACCTGAAGAAACTGGCTGAGTTCTTAGAGATTCCCTTCACCGACAAAGAAGAAAAGGAAGGGGTTATTGAAGAAATATCAAGGTTGTGCAGCTTTGACAATCTAAGGAATTTGGAAGTGAACAAAAATGGTGTTCGTCCTTCCGGGGCTCCAAATAGTGCCTTCTTCAGAAAAGGAGAGGTGGGTGATTGGGCAAACTATCTAAGTCCTTCCATGGCTGAAAACTTCATGAATATAGTAAAAGAAAAGTTGGCTGGATCTGGTTTAACCTTCAAAACATCTCAATAAAGTGCATATCTATGGGGTGCGTTAATATCTTTAATTCCCTTGCGTTCTTGTTGGTGTAGATTTCATGAATTTTGTCATCTTCTAACCAATCCAATCGTGTTTCAAAACTTTCAGTACGGGCAACAGTAACTTGTCTTGTTTTTTTTTTTTTTTTTTCCTCACGAGAAGAGGTACTTTTCCCAACCAAAACTCTTTGGGCCAAAAAGTACTGTCTGGTGGAGTGAACTAGGGATTCCAATGGATGGATACCCACTACCCAGCCCATTAAACCAATTTCTTATCTTATCTATTTAAAATAATAATAATAATAATTAGTTCAATAATACCCTCAATTCATTTCAAGCCCATTAAACCAAGTTCTTATCTTATCTTATAAATTAAAAATGAACATAACCAAGGGTTGATCCCCTAATTTTATAAATTATAAAAAAATATATATTTTTATAAAATGTTTATAATATTTTATTAAAAAAAAGTTTATAAAAAAGTTCAAAATTAAGGATTAAAAATATTTATAATATTTTATAACAAAAAAATTTTCTTAAAAAAATTTAAGATTAGAAGGGTTAAAAATATTTTTAAAATATAATTAACATCGAAATGTCAAAACAACGTTGTTTTGACATTCTAAGAAACGGTCAACCCGAGTTGACCATTACATATAACGACAATTAGAAAAATTAAAATAATTTCTTTTGAAAAATCAATAGTTTAATATTCAAATTACGCACTTTATACTAAAAGTATGAAATTATCAAGTCGCAATACAATGAAAACAAAATTTGCCATTATACCTTTATCAGCAATCAAGTCTAATTTTTCCATTAACCAATATTTTGTGATACGTGACAAGCATGTGAAAGTGAAATGATTAAAAAATTTAAACTAACTTTTAGACAACTAGATAAAAATGATATTATAGCAACCTACCAACATACTACATATCTAATGCCAAAGTCTTACATGGACATTTCATCAAACACTTTTTAAACAAACTTCATATCATAAACAAAATATAATAAATATCAAACTTCAAACTCATTAAAAGATATTTCATTCAATTTTCACTTTTCACTACTCTCAACTCAAAATTATGTTTACTTCTTTCAAAATTTGCTATAGGTGGTGATGATTTTCGAATTGACATTTTGCAATTCTAGACATAGAATCATTTGGAAAACCCACTACTCCTAACTTGCAAAAAAAAAAAAAAAAAAAAAAAAAAAAAACCTCAGACACTCAAAAGAATAAAATTAAAACCTTATCACTGCCTTTTATGTTGCTCCTCCTCCTCTTCTCTCCTATGGTTCCTGTTTTCCACCACACTATCAATAACTACTGTCACCTCTACTACTAATCAAATAGAACTCACTATTTTTTAAAAACCAATTTACTCTTTTGATCAAAATCTCACAAATTTTACTAATTCTATTTTGGATATTGATTCTAAAAAATAGTTTTTTTAAGAACCTATAAAAGTTTAGTTGAGATTTTGAGAAGAGAATGAAGGTGGAGGATAAAGATTTTGTTGTTAAGGACCTAATTATTAATGAGTCTAATTTAGTTTTTGAAGCAAATAAGGGAATTGATGACGGGTCGGATTCAATTTTTGAAGCAAATAAAAGAATTGTTGATGGGTTTGATTTAGAGGGTATAATGAAGGTGAAGGACGAAATACTGGAGCTTGAAAAAGAAGGGTTTTTGGGGTGTTCTATTAAGAAGGAGAATGTGGATGTTAGAATGGAAGTAAACAGGGAATTAGATAGCTTGGATGACATGGAAGAAGGTGAGATAAGGGATGTTGATGGATAGGAAATGCCTCGTAAGAATAATAGTGATGTCGAAGTGTTTGAGGGTGAAGAGGAGGAAGAAGATGGATGCAAGATCGTTGAGTGGAGTGGTGTTGATGAAGATAGGAGGATGCTAATATGGATTAATTTGCCATTTCACATCTTTAAGTTATTTTCTCATAGTATACATGGCATAATAAGACTATGTGTTTTTTATTTATTGATTCATGACATTATCACGTGCAAAAGACTATGCTGGATGTTGGTCAATGGGAAAGATAAACTCTGTTACAAATTAAAAAAAACAATGTAGTATTCAAATTGAAAAAAAATAAAATTCAAGTATGAGTTTCTGTTTGAACAAAAGTTCAGAATACTATCAAACCAACTAATAATAATAAAATAATAATAGTCAAAGTTGTGCAGCTTTGATAATCTGAAGGATTTAGAGGTGAGCAAAGCTAGTGTCTTTTGAATGTGATGGAGCTCCAAATAGTACCTTCTTTAGGCAAGCAAATGGGGAAAATTGGTGCTTTTATCCGAGGCCTTCCATGGCAGAATGTTTTGGAAATATAGTGGAAGAAAAGATGCTTCACTTTGCCTTATTCTTCAAAACATCTCACTAAGATCACAAATTGCTTAGTAATCTCTTGGGTCCTCAACTCATTTTCCTTGTGCTTTGAAAATAATTATTATTATGCCAATACTTATTGCTGTAAGTAGTTCTCTTGTTGGGTTAAACTAATTGTGTTTTATTATGAAGTTCTTGTTTGGTTGTTATTGGTCTTTGTTAATGAAGATTACAGATCCTTGACCTTTGCTTTTTTTTTTTTCTTTTTTTTTTTTTGTTTTACAAAGTTGGGTTTGATTTAGTGAAAAGTAGAAGGAATGTTTATCTGGTTCTTACTCTTTCTAAGCATTTGCATTTATGAATTGGGATGCAAAAGAGAAAACAAACAATGCCTATGCGTTAATTGATGTTTAAAAATAATTCCTCTCCTAAAACTTGTTGCTGTAATTAGTTCTCTTGTCAGGTTAATCTAATTGTGTTTTATTCCAAAACTCTTGTTCGATTATTATTGGTCTTTGTTTAATAAAGGATAGTGATCTTTGACCTCTGTTTTATTTATTTGTTTATTTTTAATAAGTTGGCTTTGATTTATTGAAAAGTAGAAGGAATGCTTTTTTGGTTATCGTTCTTTTTAAGCATTTGCATTTAGGAATTAGGATGCAAAGGAGAAAATAAACAATGCTTGTGTGATAATTGATGTGAATTTTTTCAATTTTGTGAGAACGTAGTTTGGTAAATGTCACACCGTTTATTCACACTATTGTAAAAAAAAATTAGGTAGAGTCTTAAATTGAATATCTATGACTTATTGAGTTAGTAGTTTGGTTTTTATGTTCTTGCTTTCTTTTGTTTGACATTGGATATAGACTCAAAAAAATTCAGCTTTTAAAATCGATTAAAAATTAAATATAATTCAACATTGATTTAATTTAAAAAATAATAAATTTAATCTTAATTAATGCAAATACTAATTTAAAAATATCCTATTATCTCTAAATCTATGTATGTAAAAGTTAACTTCCACTACCAAACTAATCTTTGGGCAGAAGTGGGAAAAAAAATTATTAGGAGAAGAGTAGAAAATATAATAGTTAAATTACACTGCCAACTAATCTTTGGACAGAAGTCAATAACATCCCCTACCAAACTGATATTTGGACAGAAGTGAAAAGAAGGGGGGGGGGGGGTGGTTACGTCAGTTCCCACACTTCCTTTTTTTTTTTTTTTCCCCTCACTTCTGTCCAAATATATATATATAAGTGTTGCCTTCTATGTTTGAGTGCGGAAGGAACGTACAAGAGATGTGGAAAGGAGGGGTTGCATGAGATTGAAAAATTTATTACTAATAAATTATTTTTTATGAGGTGATAGAGTAATGATTTTACGTGAGGAATTACTCAATATGTTATGCACTCTTTCATCTTCTATGAAAATGAGATTCATTGATTTTTTTTTTTTAATGATGAATCCTATATTTTGGTGAGAAGAAACAATATAATTTTTTATATACTTAATAATCTATGAAAATATATTTATTTATTTTGAAAAGAAAGAAGATTTATTCTCGAATTCTTAGTCAGATAGATTTTTTTTTCCTGTTATTTAGAGGATTGAAGTATTCCCCTTTCTTTCATGTTTGGAAAAAAATCAAGTCGAGAGTTCTCCCATCCCATTCACATATATGTCTTTCCTCCCCTCAAAACCTACAAATCGACCCATTGATCGTGTCTAGCTAATGTATATCTTTTGCTAGTGAGATTTTATTTTGTTGAGGAAACAAATGATAATAAAGTGGAAACCAAGCAGTGGGTTTTTGCCCATGTGTATTCCTTTTTATTTTTATAAAAAAATATTTTAATTAAAAAATTTAAATTGTTAAGAGAAATCTTAAGATATAATTTATATTATTTTCTAACGAGTTGTTCCTGTGTGCACGACATTTTGATTTTTCTAAAAAAAAAATTCAATTAAACTATGATAACCATTTCAATTCAAAAATTTAATATATAATTTTTTTTTACACACTTTCTCAAATAAAAGTTTATTGGGTTTAAAATTTACACATATTTTCTCAAATGAAAGCATTTTTATCAAAAAAATCATTTTAGTCTAAATTCAAAAATCTAAATTGTTATGTGAGACTTTAGAATATAATAAATATTATTTTTTAATACATTTTACAATTATCTTGTACTTAATTAGAATAGAAAATGAGAATAATGAGTTTTGAATTCTTGATCTTTTGACTCGTCAAGATTCGATATTATATTAAAAAAACTATTTCAATCTAAAAATTTAAATTATTAAATGAGATCTCAAGATATAATTTATTTTATTTTTTAATAGTTTTGTGTTATATTCACTTAATTAGTTATGTGTAACCAAGGAAAAAAAATAAAAAATAAAAAAAGTCAACCAATATAAATTTCGAACTTCATTTGGTAAAAATATATAAATAAAACTCATAAACGGCAAACATAAAGGTCTTCATCACGTGATTCACTTCTCTCCTTGAAAACGCTTTGGGTAAACCCATATTTTCACCGTTGTAGTATTTTTCAATCTACCGATTTAGTCCCCCGTGTAAATGAATCGATCAATTAAACGCCACGTTTTGCGATTGCAGTAGTCAATTGAGTCCAACATGTTACTTCCATCCAATTAACATTATTGTGTCGGAAAAGTTAATCTGCCACGTGTATTGTGGTTTTTGATTAGTTGAATTTAGTTATTTTTAATATATTAAAGTCATGAGATAAAATGAGTGTTTTTAAAATGAAATCTTACAAGTTGAACGTAATCTTTAAACCGAAATTAGATTTCAAGTTATAATATTAACTGATCCGAATTCAAGTAATTGTGAAGCAACCAACTAAAATTGAAATAGAGAATGCAAATTAATTACTTTTCGAACCTAATACAAGAGGACAAAAGCACCTTTTTTTTTTTTTGAAATTAAAGAGAACATTAAAAAAATAAATTAAAATAAGCTATTTAATATTGAGGCGAAATGACCCAGACTTTCTTTATATAATGAAATCATTGTTCAAATATGTCTTTATATGTTTTAAAAGAGTCAATTATATCTTTATATTTGAAGTGAGTTTTTTATCTATTTTTTTTAGTAAATTCGTTAAAAAAGATCATGTGATTTACAGACGTATAATTTTCTATCGAAAATGTCAAAAAAAATCATGGGTAATTTTCGACAAAAAATTAGATATGCAAAAATCATGTGACTTCTTTTTATTTTTTTGAAGGATTTGTTGGAAAAATTTACCAAAATAATAAATTAAAATTTTATTTAAAATACAAAAACATAAATGAATTTATTTTAAAATACAAAAATGAATGAAATATTGATGTCATTATATACGAACATGGGGGACCATTTCTCCTGATATTCGTCTTTACATTACAGGTAAAGATAATTTCGAAAAGATTTAAGATCCCTGCCAAATCAATAAAAGGTTAAACCATTGCAGCTTGCCTCAGCTAAACGTGCCTTTTGTACATTCCTATACAACCACACGTTAGATTCCCTCAGTTCAAAAATGTAAAATTAAGAAACCTTGGTTTCCCCAGTCGATGAAAGGTTAAAGTAATTGCGACTTGCCTTAATTATCTGCCACTGCACTGCCTTCTGTTTCCCTTTTTTTTAACTTAAAAGCTTTCCTTGGAACAAACAATTCATTACTACATTCATGTTGGGTCAAGTTTTAGACATGTTATCTAGTAGATTTTACTTCTATAATAACTGGAAAGGATAATCCAAAAATGATCTCTTCAAACCAAAAAAAGCAAGCCAAGAATTGGTCTCCAAGATTTGTTTGCAACCCTTCCTACTGAGAAAAAACTGGGATGTAGCTTCCCTTTATTTCTACAAAGGACAGGTATCCTGTTTTTGCCATTAGAGGGGCTCTTTTCTTGCAACCCTTCCTAGTGTGGACAACTTTCTTGACATTGCCATATTTCGTAATTCACTTGTTTATCAGCATTTCTCTTTTGTTATTTTCATGGAGACGGCAAAAATGATCTCTTCAAACCAAGAAAGCAAGCCAAAAAATGATCTCCAAGATTTGCTTGCAACCCTTCCTAGTGAGAAAAATTGGGATGGAGCTCCCCTTTATTTCTACAAAGGGGTCTGGTATCCTGTTTTTGGCCATTAGAGGAGCTCTTTCCTTTCAACGACATTTCATTGCACAAGACACGGATATAATACTAGGAAGCATGCCAAAATCAGGCACGACTTGGTTGAAAGCTATCACGTTTTCTGTTGTAAACCGCAACATTTACAGTCCAAAAGAGAGTCCCTTACTTACTACCCCACCTCATGAACTCGTGCGCTCCTTTGAGATGGATCTTTACTCAAAAATCCAGCTCCCAGATATCGAAAAACTTCCTTCCCCAAGAATTTTCTTTACTCAAAAATCCAGCTCCCAGATATCGAAAAACTTCCCCAAGAATTTTCAGTTCTCACTCCCATTATGAAACTTTGCCGCGGTCCATTAGAGATTCTAATTGCAAGATTGTTTATATATGCAGGAACCCTTTGGATCAACTTGTCTCTTATTTTCATTTTGCTCGCAAGTTCAAAAGAGAGAATGTCGAGCCTTTATCATCAATTGATGAAGGTTTCGATAACGTTTGTCGTGGTGTCCAGAGTCATGGACCCTTTTGGGATAGTGTGTTGGGGTATTGGAAAGCAAGCATAGAAAGGCCGGACAAGGTGCTGTTTTTGAAATATGAAGATTTGAAAGAGGATATATCCTTTAATTTGAAGAAACTGGGAGAGTTCTTGGGATTCCCTTTCTCTGAGAAAGAGAAAGAAGGGGTAATTGAAGAAATACCAAAGCTGTGCAGCTTTGATAATCCCAAGGATTTGGAGGTGAACAAAACTGGTGTCTTTGAAAGTTCTGGAGCTCCAAACAGTACCTTCTTTAGGAAAGCAAAGGTGGGAGATTGGTGCAATTATCTAAGTCCTTCCATGGCAGAACGTTTGGGAAAGATAGTGGAAGAAAAGATGGCTGGCTCTGCCTTATACTTCAAAATATCTCCCTAAGCTCGCAAATTGCTTACTTATCTTAGGAAAGCAAAGATAGGAAAACAAAATATCCCTTTGTTTAGAAGCTAGCTTTGTTACTGTTGTATTGATGTGTCATGTTCTGTTTTATTGCTGTGTGTCTGCATGATGCTGTACTGTTTGCAAATATAAGATAATAGGTCCCACCTGCAAAAGCTTACATGGAAATGGTCCGATCGTTTTGTTTGGGTTACAGTTTGCTGTTGCATAATATGTTACAATAAATGTTGAAAAGCTTGACGAACTAGCTAAAAATGGAAGGGTGGATCCATTGGTGCTGGAAGATGACTGTATATTTCATGTTATGGTTTCTATTGTTCTCATAGACGTTTTCCCCACTGGTGATTTTTGGATATGGTCGTCCAATTGGGATTCATATGGTTCTCAGAGACTTCTTCTTAATGCTTTCGCACACTACGGAGATACAAGCATAATAGGATAGTACCAGGGCCAGACACTTAACAACACTTGACTTAGCAGTTGAGGGAAGTCCAAATGTGGGAACTAGATATGGCCTTCTCTGACCTTTTCTTAGATGGTCATGATCAATGTTCTTACAATAGCCTTTCATTGGCTCGTCCTATGTTTCTCTTATCTCTTGGTTACAGTAGTCTGATCTGCGGTAGTGGCACAAATAGGGAGCGGAGAGTTGTAGGCTCAAATTCTACCTTCGATACAAACACACATTTATATGAATGCTTGCATATGAAGATCACACTGTTGCTAATGCATGTATAGATGTGCTTGCAGGATGAAGGGACAAAACCCGAGCAGGATGAGGATGTAGGAGTTGAAGAAGATCAGGAAGAGAAAGTTGCTGAAGAGCACCATGGTCTACTGAAATCTGGTGATAGTGATGAGGATGGAGATATATAGAGTTCATATCGAAGTGAATTTTAGTTAAGCTGAAGGGGGAGAAGGGAGTCTTGTTCATATTGCTTTTTGGCTATTTTTCCCTTCATTCCAAAGCATTCATAACACCATCGATAGAAGATACTTTCCTACTATTTTTATTGCTAATTAATATATCAAAATTTTATTAGATTTCCACAAATACTTTCCAAATTCATCATTACCCCTCTCTCTCTCTCTCTCTCTCTCTCTCTCTCTTCATTCCACCTTTTCCCCATCATTCACTCACACCTCCTGCCATTCATTTCATGTTTACTTTCTTGTGTTCATCCGTACAGGAAAGGAAGCCGTCATATGGAGTGGAGCAACCATAATGGTGGCATCAATCCTCAACTGTATCGGAGTTGACTTTTTTATCAACCTGAATTAGGAACACTAATCGTTCGTGAATATTTTAGCATTAGACTTTGGTGACAGAGTGGCGTGCACAGCTTAGCACTTGTTTCTCTCCAGTCTCCATGGCTTTTGGCCAGCCATAAGCACCGTCTGTGGCTCAACTTTTTCAATGTCTCTAACCAATCATGCAGCATCTTGTTCTCTGTCACGTTTTTACTTATTTTATTATTTGTGCTTTACTATCACAATGTTTGGAGTGGTCGCATGTTAAAAAAAAAAAATCAATTATTTCCAGATGTTGACTTGCAAACTTGTACCAATGATCAAGATGAGGACATGTCGGCATGCTGATGATAATGAGATGCAGATGCATATTAGTTATCCTGGGTATACTAAAGGACAATAGCTGCAGCTATGCTCAGTCTGATACTTCAGCTTCTCCTCCATTTCCAGAAGATACAAATCACAAATAAGGACTAAAAGATTCTTATTCAAATTTGGATGACTGAAATCATATCTTGGGTATAAATCAATCTTCATAATAAATAAACGGTAGCTGATATGCTTGTAATTAGAAGATTCAATTCTTGTCCGTTCCTTTTTTTCAACAACTAAATGGAATAATAGTAGTAATAGTTTTTTGATGAAAACCAAGGAAAATTTGCCAGAGGAATTTAATGAAAGATGAAGATGAATTGGTAATGAGAAGCCAAGTACAGAGGACAGGAGAAAAAGAAATGCTGCAGACGAGAGCCATGGAAGGTTGGATAATAACATGCTTTTGGAAGTGAACTAGGTTGACAACACAGTAGGTAGTAACCGGTATATATAAACTGGAGAATTAACTAATATGCTAAAGTAATACAATAAAATGAACAGATGATTACTATTTGAGATAATGTGCACACATTTATATTTCATTGTTCACCCTCTTACATTTTAATGTTTCTTTCATTATTTATAACTTTTTTTACACTTTGATCCCTAATATTTTTTAATGCATATTTCGATTCATATGTTCATTTGTTTATCTATTTTGATTCCTTAACGGAGATAAAAGGCTCGGAGATAAAGAGAGACGAGAGAAGAGAGAGATCACCGGCCAAGCATATTTAGGCCACTCGGCCGGCTAAAATCCACTAAATTTTTTTATTTTTGAGAGATATGTTTGTACATGGTGGTTTCAAGCCATTAAATAATTAAAGGAGGTAGATCGTAACCAAAAAAGGAAAAAAATTGATTTGATTTTATATTTTTCTTTGTTTTTGTGTATATAAAAATGATTTTTAAGGTTTTAGATGTGTTTATTAGCTTTATTCCGATCATTTAAAGGTGTTTGAAGAAAAAAATGATGCTAAAATTCAATTTTTAGAGATCTAAAAGTTGACCTTCGATTTTTCGATGAACTTCTAACGACCTCGAGTTCGTCGGAAGTTACAGGTTTTTTTTTTTTTGGTTGGACGACAAATAAGGCCCGGCCCGCGGGCTCGCAATGGCGAGCCCAAGCGCACCGGCCTACCTGCATAGGCCAACCACACGTGGCCTCCCTCTTTTTTTTTTCCTGGATATGTGCAAATTGGTTACACAAGCCAACCAGGTGCCTGTCCTAGTTGGCTTGCAACCGGATCTCTCTCTCTCTCTGTATATATATATATATATATATATATATATATATATATATATATATAAAGAAGAAAAAAAGAATAAAGAAAAAAGTCTACTAAACCAAAAAAATATAAAATATAAAAATAAATCGTTATTTTTTTAGTTTTTCGTAAAGTTTAATATATATATATACATTACTTTTATTCTTTAAATTTTATTTTTTAAGTATTTATTTCTTATTAAAATTCACATCAAAATAATTTTTTATATAATTTTATTTGTTAATAATTTTATTTTTTTAATATATGAATTTTGACATAAAATTTTGAAACGTCCGTGTTTTATTTTTTAAATATATCATTATAATTTATACAATAATTTTTTTAACTTTTTAAATGAAAATTTTTTTATTTTTTAATTATTTAAAATTTACTAATTTAATTTATCATTTTGTTAAAATTTTCATATATTTAATTTCATTGATTTCATATATTTTTATACATTCACACCATAAAACAAATTATCAAACTAAAATAATTTTTCTAAATAATTTTATATATTTTATCCTACCTACACCAAAAAAATCTACTTAAAGCTAATTGGCCTAACATTTTTTATATTTAATGCCAAAGCAATGAAAGACCTCATACTCATATTTAATGCCGAAGCCATAAAAGACCCCATACTCGTCCCAAGGATGCCCTGAATCATGAAATATTCCTACCATTTGATCACGCCTCATCAGTCATCACCACCTTCAGAGAAATGGTACAGGACTTTTATTCCGATTTAACTGCTTCAAAATCCACAGAAAAGTCTTCCATTCAAAGGTTTTTCAGGCCAACCAAACCCCATTCTAAAACTCATGCATAACTTGCAAGTGCTTTCCACCAGAAAATCCTCAGTGCAAAGAGTGTAATTTTAAGCTTTAAATGATGAACAGAGTGAGAAACCATGTATTATTGAAAGTTTCATGTCGATCAACAAGAGCAGACATGAACCTACTCGCCAGGATTGAAAACAATGCATTCACCATATTTGAACAATAAATTTAAAATATAAATTGGTATGAGCAGACAAAAAAAACTTGCAAAGGAAATTAGACTACTATGTGCTTTGCATTAAAGAAGCAAAACTTACTTCTTTTCCATCAACCATCTATCTTTTTCAATTTGCCAGCACCTTGATATATTTGCAATAAATCTGGGACTTGCTCTACATACTTAGTAACATAGCTCTCCAAGAATTTCTTTTCGGATAGCATTAGCATACCAGCAATCTTTTTACCTCCTTGAATCAGACTTTTAGACTCCAAAACCTTCATAACGTCATACCTTGGACGAATTCTTTTATCAATGGAGAAGCCAAAAAAATAAGGATAGGTAATCAAAAATTTCCATTCCAACTCCATGTTATTCATAAAGAAAACCATACCACTCCTGATTTTCTCCTGCGAGTATTTCATTATTGCCGGGAATCGCTTAAAGGCACACAAAATCTCCTCTTCACTCCATCCAAAACTCTTCATCAGCTCAATTTTCTTCTTCCAATTTGATTCGGTCACTTGTACCATCACGTTAAGAGCATGTATAAACATAGCATCCTCTGGTTCAAGGCCCAAATTTTTAAGAGCATTCACCGTATAAACCATCTTAACATGCTTTCGCTGCATAGCTGGTGGTTGCAACACAAACATTTTTGCTACCCTGCGAACAGGGACTCCCTCTTTTATTAAGAAATCAATATTTGGTTGGACAGAATTCTTGAAATTAAAGGACAATAACCACGGAGCACGCTTAATAATAACGATAATGTTCTCCTTGCAACCAATAATTGACTTCAAAAGCTCAAAACATGGCTTAATATGAGAATCTAAATGCCTTTTCAAAATGTTTGGATCTGATACGATAATATGGGGTAGAAGCTCACCCCCTAAGCCATTTTTTATGAAAAAATCAAACTTGGGTTTGAGAGTACCTTCTACTCTGCAATGGAGCACCTTTGGCATCTTTTCTATCAATTTGGCCAAGTGGGTGTCGCTAAAGTTGTGAGCTTTAAAGAATTGAAGCACGGATTGGAGCTTGTGTAGATCATTTTCATCGATTTGGAACTTTTTAGAAACAGAAATAGCAGATTTTAAGGGAAGCCCACGTGAGTTGATGAGGTATTCAACTGCAAATGACGAAGATGATGAGGACGTAGTGGGTACTGAAGAAGTAGGAGCAGCGGAAGATGAAGAAGACGTTGACAGAAAACGCTTCTGTATCAAAGAAATCAGCTTCCTCACGGGTATGCTGTTAATGGCCATTTTCGATGACAAAGAAGCTGCAAGAAAATTGGCAATGAATGGAAACGAGTCGAGGACTCACTTGTAAAGTATTGGGTTTATGACCCAAAACTTTGGATGCAAATGGGCTATATTTTGTTGGAAACATCTTGGGTCCCTTTCTAGCCCATTTTGAAATGAAAACATAATGGGCATACTCCCTCTAACAATCACAAGTCCGATCGAATGACAAAAACCAATAAATTATTTAAATAATTTCATTTTACTTTCAATTTGTTCGAATTTATTACATCCTTCTACACAAAGCATCATTGGCTCATCGCCTTCATTTTCCTTAAATTTTCCATATTCTTAGCCCTGGACTTCCTTCTTTCAAAACTAAAATATTTCCTTCAAAGGCCTCTTTTTCTTAATAGTATAATGAATGTTAACATCTTCTGTTCTCTCTCTCTGCTTACTTTGTCAGGCTCAATCTATGAAGTTTCTCCTATAACTTCTTTCTAAACGTTTTTTAACAACAACTCCTAGAGTCCTAGTATCATAGTGAAACAGAATCTAGTACCTCATAATTTTGAGAGAGCAAAGTAAATGGAGCAGGAGGCATGCGAATTTCGCTTCTTCATGGGCTCACCAGCGAAAAGAAGACTCTATATCGATTCATTCAACTAGTGATTACGGCGAGAATTTGTTTCAGGGTAGTGGCAAGAACTGGAAACCAGGTGATGCTGTTGCTGCTTGGGCAGCAGAGAAAGTTTGCTACGCCTACAACCACTAAATGAATAGTTTTAATCACAAGAAAGACTGCCTACATAATAGTCAGATAGTTTAGAGACAAAGCTTGAAGTTTGGTTGTGCAAGAGTGTCAATTTCATAGGCCAAATGCCCTTGTGAATCAGATTAAATTTTCTCCGGTAGAAGGCGGATATTTCATCACCACTGAATTGGGGCTGTCCCTATCTAATCATTTGCATGATGTACTTATCAAAGACAGGAACTAGGGGAGTATTGTATAGGTTGGTCAAGGACCAATTAGGCACTTACCCTAATTCATGAAATACAGGGAGCATTACCGCACATGGTTAACATTTCTGCCCCTGCTAAAACGTTTGCTTTCTCAGCTGAAAAATCTCTTGATTTCAATTTTTTACAGAAACAACTAAAAATAAACTTTGTACTTCTTTCCCTTTCCACCAACAAATTCTAATCACTGTGTATAAAAAAAATTCTGATCCATCAAATTTTCATTAAACGAGATGGCAATAGTACAACAACCAGGTAAACCAGAATTCCTAGCTTTTAACACGCATAAAAAAATGGACCTCTTTTATTTAGTACTTCTAAAATAAATAAAAAAATGTATGACTTTATAATTGCAGAAGAAACCATGATCCAAATAGCAAGAGACATTGGATAATTTTGATTCTACATGTCATAATGTTCACAGAGTAAATATTTTGGACAAATATTATACCTATCAATGCTCCTAGTCTGGTGGCTTGCTGTTGTTAACTCCAACCACACGACCATGGTTCCAGCATTGGACAAAACAGCAAAAAACATCAACGAATATCTACAACCTTATCAGTGTGTCATGGGTGTGCATCAACTTGAAATGGTATGGTACCTTTGGACATTGCAAGTACGTAGTTATTCTACATTCACTGCAAATGATAGACGGACAGAATGCTGACCGTCAAACCATGTGACGGACCCAAACTTGTAGCCACTAGAAGCCCCCTTGCCATTGAATACGACTTTGAAAGATGCCCTTGTTAACCCTTCAATAAAAGCAATCTTCTTTGGAAAAACCTTCACTGCTAATCCCAGAGGAGCATGCACTCTGGAAATGTATGTGGCATTTGGACATCCCACATTAGTTACAGTTCTTTTGATCATCTGAGCCGGCTTATGTCGATAAAGGTTACTGATAGAGATTGACGGATAGTTGATCCTGGAGATGAATCTGTCAATACTGATTCTTGGGCAGTTGAAATTTGACTTGGACATGGATCTTATTTTTTTCTCTGAATATCGATAATAACAAAGGAATTGCAAATAATCCTCAGTGGTTGTTTCAAAAACTAATCCTGGATTAAGAGCTTTGAGCGGGTTTATTTCTCCAACCCCTACTTCATGTGGATTTGCAAATTGATGTGAGCTGTTTTTCAAGGGTTTCCCCATGTTATCATAAATGGTTGCTGCACATAGAACAGAGAGGGAGAGATCAATGGAAGCACTTGCAGTGCATGACAGTAGAAGTTAATATATAAACAGAGGACCATCAGATATTAAACAATGATGAAATATTTTATAAAGGGAGTACCTGTCCAATCAAAAGCATCATCCAATCCCCTCCCCACTAAAAGTATTTAAATAGTAACATCATGCGGTACAAAGAAGAAGTTACCATGAGGTGCCATCAAGCTAAAATTCCATTATGTTTTCCTAGTATTATAGTAAGCCACGATCCACGATGACGACCATAATCGTTTTTTCAACCGTCCACTATTTAAAACTATGTTCATAACTATATATAAGGGTTTTTTTGGGGGGGGGTGGCAATAGCGGGATGTCCCCTCCCATAAACCCCACATTCCTTCCATATTATGGTTTCCACACCATTGTAAGAAAAAATTAATAATTTGACCAAATTGTAGAAATGACACTTTTTTCTCAAAATCATAAGTTAACAATGTTACACATATAAACAGAAGTTATATGTGAATACTAAGCAATATGACCAAAAACTTCAGGGCAAATAAAGTTGAAAACAACCCAGGTTAATACATTCCCCAACAAAAAATTGTTTGCGAGTTCTATTGCACGCTTATAAATTCAACCTTCAAAAGTACCTGTTGTCATAAGTGCAGATTTGATCATAGAAGTACTCCACCCATGATTAACAGATTTAATGAATGCTGCAGCTCCTGTCACATGAGGGCATGCCATTGATGTCCCAGACTTTATGGCATATCCAGATGGCTTATTTCCAACAGGAACAGTCCCTGCTTCTTTTTCAGGTATCATGGCAGCCAAAATGGCAACTCCTGGAGCCATTATATCTGGCTGAATGTCCAATCAGTGTTAATGATTAACTAAATCATTGCTAAGAAAAACAGAGACACATCTACATACATATGAATTCTAATGTATGACAGAGACTAACCTTGAGAATGTTTTCTGTATATTGCCCAGGCCCTCTAGAAGAAAAAACTGCAACAGTTGGAACTGGTCTATATTGAGGAACATCACGGGCAGGAAGGATGGTCGCAGTTGGCTTTCTGAACAGGCAGAGAAACGAGAGCAAAACCATCAATTAACTACTTGCAGAAGTTTCTTAACTTGTAAGTAGGGCATGCGCCTCGCACGGATTTTTCAGGATGTTATGAATCTCACAAAAAACAATTGTTCCTAAAGTTTGGTATGATTTGAAGAGTGTTAAAAGAAAACCAGGCACTATTATGTCTATTTCTGAGGGGAGTTTCTTAGATTAATTAAAAGAAGGGGCTTGATAAGACAAGCACAAACTAGGAATGAGTTAAGGATTTCTTGTTCTACATGTGCTAATTCACCATCAGCAAGAACCAAGACAACAGAGAGGTTGAATCTCCAGAAAAATGGGTCAGTTACGGGTTATGAGCAGATTTTATGTATAACGCATTGCCCTTGTTAAAAAGGCATGACCAGAAGAAAGGGGTCTATATAAGATGTATTTTTCTGCACATCACTTGGTGACCATATTGAAGACTCATGAGAAAGAAAAATGAGGAAGAAAGAAACAATGCAGGTTTCAGCTAACTTAATTGATGCCTTAATAGTTAATTTGTGTCAGTGATGAAGACAAAATCAAATCTTAATAACATTTAGGATAGCAAGACTTAAGAAACAAAACCATTCTCCTTATTGTGCGTCTTATTATGCATCCAAGCCACAATAGGAGAGACAAGAATAAGGACATGTTTGGAAATTTATATCAGTGATGCTTACTTGGTACCATTGATGTATTTAAAAATCTGAAACCCTGCAAGATTTCCAACTTCTGCAAATGGAAACGTGGCAGAATCAAAAGGCACAACTTTCTCATCATCGTTGACCAAAATCAACCCTTTGGCTCTAGCATCTTCCACGACTAATTTCTTGATTTCCCGTGGAATATTGAAATCATCATCTGTGCAAACAACAATCTTGCCAGCAACTTTCACTGTATCTAATGATCCTGGGTAGCAATTTCTGCATTTTAGCAAAAATTGATTAACTTTATACAATAAATGAAATTCGTCATTATTGAGTATCACTTCTTGATAGTTCCTAATGCTAATTAATACCTAGCCTCTGATATCGGAGTAAACTTAGCAGCAGCATCCTCTCCAAAGGCAAGAGGATAATTTCTTGAGCGACTGAGGTTTGAGAAATTGATGGCAGACCCCTTGATAAAAAAAAATAGACAGGAAGAGAAAAAAGGATTGAACAAACGAATAGATCTTAATATAGGACAATAACAATAAAAGAATTGCAAATGGATATCTTACTTGGAAAGTCTTCCCATTTCCAAGAAGCACGGTAGATTGGAAATCTCTATCGATATTAGAAGCTGCAACAGTAAAGATCCAAGGAGCTGAATTGACAACAGTGTAAAGATCAGGCCCATCATTTCCTGCAGAGCACACTACCATGATATCCATTTGTTGTGCATGAAATGCACCAATTGCTATGGGGTCGTTTAGGTAATCAGATTGAAAGAGGGAGCTCATCCCAATAGAAATGGAGATTATATCAACTCCATCCTTAACTGCATCATCCATTCCCTTCAATATGGTGGAACCAGAGCAACCATCTGATGTGCATGCTTTGTATATTGCTATTCTAGCAGAAGGTGAGCCACCCCTTGCTGTGCCTCCTGCTAAGTCATAGTAACTAACATTAGCAACTTTAGCACCAGCTGCTATGGATGTGGTGTGAGTACCATGACCATCAAAGTCCCTTGGCGAGTCATCCGGTTTATCCATATGGGTCTTGTTATTACTGTATGGCCTTCTGATGGCATCATAGTATCTTGCTCCAATCAACTTCCTACAGATGTACATACCAGAAAATAAGAGTTCTGCACCATGGATTAAATTTAACAGTAAGAAGAAATCATCATTTGGGCTTATGTCAGGGTAAAGGTGTGTATTTGGATAAAGATTTTAAAATTGAGGCATATTGCTATGATAGTTTAAGAAGAAAGTACGTGATCTCTGATATAACAAAACTGGATGAGTCCATGATATAGATAAAAGCTATTTTATAAGTATGGACCTTCTCTTACTTTACAACGAAAAAGACATAATCACCTATTGCAATTTGATTTCTTGAATTCATATCCTTCCATGCAAACTCCTTTCCATCTTGAAGGGATTTCCCCAATTCCATCATCATTGAAACTTGGAGACTCAGGCCATATCCCTAGAGCAAAGAACCATGCATATTATTGCAATAATTTTCTGAAGCCTAATTATATGCCTTCGGATGAGACTCGATAGCAACAACAAAAAACAAAAGGCTTTGTAAAAAATGATGGGACAAATTATTTCAATAAAAAGAGTTAATAGAAAATTTCAAACTATTCCAATAGCTTGTAATGACATAAAGTTTAAATGTTCAATTTATAACTGAAGAAATTTATATCCGATCATAATGCCTTTCCAATTTGCTGAAAGGCACACTGGATTCTGTACTCTCCCTTGTTTCAAAATTGATACACACCCTCGAAGAGATTTGAACTCAAAACCAATC